TAACCAATAACCATAACCCATAACCTCAAAACCTAAGACCTAACGCAAGCACCAATCCCTAATCTCCGACCCTAACCCTTACCCTCGCCCTCTAACCCTAACCCCTAACCCTAAGCTCTAACCCCTAGCCCATAACAAAATCCCTAACTCCTAACCGTAACCCTAACCCCCAACCCTCTAGCCCTGAAACATCCAACGCGAAAGTTTGACGGACTCGACAGGCCGAAAGTTAGAAGGACCACCGGCATTGGGCCAAAAAATAGACGAGGTAACAAAGGAACAAGGCCGCCAAAAGTGCACACACCGCGACGCACAGCAGCACAATACCAATGTAATCACAGTATTAAAAATTGCAATAATAATCAAGTAGGTCAACAGTACTGTGTCCGGTAGGTGCGGCCACATAACCATATCTTACCAGAAAAAGTAACAAATATCAGGTTGTATTTGCAATTTCTTCCAGCCAACGGATGACCTCTGTAAGTTATGTAGACATAGTTACGCAAAGCTTGATATGCGGGTGGAAGAGTAGCATATATGATTTGAGAGTTCTCATCAGTGTTCCAGGCATTCTGTGCCTACCATCAGGTCGGTTCGACTGATAATCTTCCACGGTTGTAAGTGCTCGTTTAATCCGAAGAAACCAATCAAAGCATAGGATCATTCGGCCTTCGAAAACTACCATAGAAACTACAGCCGCACAAGATGAGTCCAACGGCGGTAAATTGCCCGTGAGTCAGGATTGCGCAGCACGAGAGGACGGGAGGCGGATGCGAGTGCATTGGCTGACAAAGTAAATCATCCGTAGAAGAAAAGGCGTTCACCGGGAGGGGTTTATTGGAGGTCCGACATTTCGGGTAGTTGATTCGTCTATCCATCTTCAGAGACTGGAAATTCCTGCGCACAGCTCCATTTATATGACGCACTTTGTTCACTGCGTGACCCGCCAATGCCGCCTGTGTGGCTGCATTCAACCCGCATGTCACCGTGACCTGAATCCCCCCCCCCCTCCGTCGGCCTCGGAGATGACTGACGGCCCCGATTGTCCCGCGCCGTGACTGTCCCCCGTTAAGAAGGTTCGTAAAGTCAGATAAGGGGGAGGCAAATTTATGTGGCGGTTGACAGACCAGTCGGTAGTCATCCAGGCTTCTCGCACCTGCCTAGCTGTATGATCACCGCCCCCGCCCACAATCTCAACGGCGTCAAAGTTGAAGATTTCCCCTATTTGCGCGGCATGGGTTGCTACCTCAGACTTTGGGTCCAACCTTCGCACGGCCAATTTATGCACATGAATTCGAGTTTGCAGCCGTCGGCCGCTTTCCCCAACGCAGTTGCACCTTCCGCAGCTGCAGTGAAGTCGATAGACAACAGTCGACATCTCCTGCCTAGGCATCGAATCTTTTGGCCGCATTACTTGCCGGCGTATTGTTGAGTCAGGCGTGTGGGCAATACCTATTCCGAGTGGCGCGAGTGATCTAGCCACGGCTTCGGAGAACATAGACAGCCAAACTCGCGGCGGAGCATTCCGTACATTAAAGGGGTCTCCGAAGTCGTGGCTAGATCACTCGCGCCACTCGGAATAGGTATTGCCCACACGCCTGACTCAACAATACGCCACCTGGGAATCGAATTTTCACTACTACTGATGTAAATAATCCGTCTTCGCATGCCTCCTACGACGCAAGATGGCGCATTTGCGACATGAACCTCGGTCCTGAGAAAGATCTATAGCGTCTAAGCGGAGTGATTGCGTGCTCAGAGCTGTACAATTATGAGGCCAAATCTCAGTTTGCAAGGCGAGGACAAATGTCATCAGAATGAGGGGTTTACTGTGTACGAAACCAAGCGGCAGTGACAGCTGGCGAAACCAGGGCAGGTATTGACTGCGTTCAGTCATGCCTGAGAGATAGTCAGACGGTGGGGGCAGTTGGTTTTTGATGGAAGCGAACAGGCGAGTTCCAGGTAGCAGTTCAGAAGATGAAGATGCGATCACTGGAACAAGACATTTATTTGCCTGACGTTTCGGATCCCTACTCGAATCCATCATCAGAGACATTAGCAGATAAAGGTGATTGTGGCACCAGGAGTGCAGTATTTATAGCACGTGGCTGCCGTAGGACCGTATGCGCACTGCAATTATCAGTTCTCGCAATCACCGCTGGGGTCGTAATTGATGCGGTGGTGGCTTGTCGGTCCGAGTCCGAGTCGTTAATTGCCGCGATTTCGTCATCCGTGCTGGATGCTGGTGTGACGATTGCTCGGCAAACTGGCTCACTGTCACCGTGATGATTGCTCGCGCGCGCCCTCCCCACGTGACTGATTCACCTGCCCAAGGAAAATCGCAGTACGGAATAGGGTACCGGGAGGTCATTGTGCTTGTTGATGGATTGCGGGCCTGAGAACCATGACTCGAGCAGCTCGCGGCTCACGCGGTTGTCACCCCTTGCGAGGACTTCGGCCTCTTGAAATTTGAAAATATGGCCGGGTCCCGTCTGTTTTGTAGGTTTGCTAGGGAACAGATTCAAGTGGTGTCCAAGTGGTTTGTGTTGGATCTGTCGAGTGGTGGCGTCCAAGTAGCTTGTGTTACGTTCGCAGGGGACGGGCGTGTTCAAGTGGCGCATAGGCAGCTATGGACGTACGTGCGTCCGAGTCGAAGTCGAGCGGCCGCAGGCCAGCTCGTCTGGAACCGCTCGGTACGAAGGGGGATGACTTCGACGCAACAGAGCCCCCAAAAGGATGTCAGACCTTGCTGTCGACAACAGATCCTGTTATCCCGCCGGTTGGCAACCCCGCAGGCCACGACGCTGAAGATTCCACGGTGTTGGTCTCATTCTTTTTTCCTCTCTTTCCCGTCCCATGCACCGGTTGGCTGTCTGAGTCTGTCCAAACAACCAGTATTCGGATTTATTAAAAGCACAGGAAAGATTCATAAAACCCTGCCTGTGATATGACGGTCAAGCTCTTACGTCCGGACGTCACACAAACTGCCCACGGAAACCGTTAAATGAGTGATTAGTGAACACCCATTGAATCAGACTTCATGCTTAGCCACATGAGTTCTACGTGGCTCTTGACCTTATGTAGTCTTCCTCTTCCGGGGAGCCTTAACAGACCTTCTGCTGTGTGAAAAAGGACGCCTGGGAAGACATCAGATCCTTTAAAGAGCCTTAAGTTTGCTTAATGACATAAATCCTTTTTGACAGACATCCTCCAGTAGGTTCTAATCCACCTAACTCGACGAAGTGTTCCCAACTTGAAAGTTAACACAGTGCCTTTTTGTTGTACCGACATATTTCAAGGTGCAATCAGTTGAATGCAGTCCCTCCCTAATGTATGCACAGCCATGACAAACGTGGGTAAGATGTGGTTTGGTAGCCCCACCTGACGGACAAAATACTGTTGGGGTTGGGGTTAAGAATTAGGGGTTATGGTTATGGGTTAGGAGTTTGGGTTGGGGTTTTGGGCTAGGGGTAGGGTTTATGATTAGAAGTTATAGTTAGGGGGCTAGTGCATCTATTTCTCAGCCATTCAAAGCACAATCGCGCATTCCCAATAGCTTTTCTTTTGCATACAACAACTTGACCTTGTCGCCTGTGCGTTCCCCTGACCCACCTGTAAAAACTCCCTATTACCACCGGTCCCATCCTAGAGGTGACTGGGGTTCGTTTACTTCAGGTGGGACTACATAACCACATCCGACCACATCCCAACGTGACCTTGAGCAGACTAGATATCATTGGCTGCCATGGCTGAAGCAAACCCTTCTAGGTTGGATAACACATGTAACAGAAATTCGTTCTTTTTTCCTATATAAGAAAAAAGACTATTTTGATCGAAAGTCCTCGAAGTTTGTATGATATTTAGCTTTAAATGCACTCCCTGTGATGGTCGATATCCAAGATTTTGCTGTCATAAGCGTCTTTAGAAAAATTAGCGAAGCGAACGTTTCTGTGTGTATAGAAGATGAACTCGTGAACACTGGGAAAGTACGCGTACTACTGTGAGCTTGGGGTTTCGTACGGGAAGCCATTATCCGGCACCGTGTGTCTTTTCCTTTTTTAGTTATGCGCCTTAGAAGTCCTGAATATGACCGTCTTTGTATGAAGTGACATGACTTTACCCTCAGTTTGTATCGTGCCGTTGCAGACGGATTTGAATGCCATTTGCTTGCTTAAATAAGGCGCCACGTGCAACATAAGACAGAAGGTTTTGAACTGCCTATCAGCTCTCAGGCATTTCAGTAGTATTCGCGTCAGTGCTTGAGGCACGTTAGGTTGCTTGACCTTATCTGATCCCGCTTGTCATCCAATACACGCATTCTTTAGTTCTGAAAATGTCTGGTCCTTTTTGTCCTCCTTGCAAACCTGAAATACGACAAAAGCTCTCATCTCGACGCCGCAATCACGTCCTTCCCGGTCTTGAAATCGACAAAGATTTGGCACAGTAAGCATCAAACTGCAGTTGACTGTTTGACAACCGCCGTTTGAATAGATTCTTCCCAGACCTGTACGCGCATGTAGTAAGTTATTATTTGAGTTGAAACCGTAAGGATAGAATGAGTAACTCAGTCGGAGAAGACCGTTTTGAAAGTTCTTGGGTGAGGAGTTTTGAAAAGGGGTCAAAATTTCACAGCGTTGCAATGACTGCAAAACAGGGAGGTTATGGCAACCAAAAAGGATAATTAACCTGACAATTAACTTCTGCGGGAAACCTCGAAGTGTGCGTAAATGGACATCAGTTAAAAGGACGTCTCTATCAAAGAAAATCATTTCAGCATTAACTCAACAGAGGTCACTACGGCGTTCTCTGTGCGTTTTGAGTAGTAACGTGATAATAGAAGGGAAAAGACGAGTCCCCGGAAGCGGTCCTGAAAAAGGAGACACGATCGCTGGGACAAGAGCTTCATTCGTCCGACGTTTCGGATTCCTGCTCGAATTCATCATCAAAGACAATAGCAGATACGGGTGATCCATTCGGTCTTCTCGGGCATACAAGTTACGATGGAGGACGAAGAGAACAACCAGCTGGCCTTCCCGGATGCCCTTGTATGTCGCGACGACTGTTGTGGCCCAGATATCAAAGTGTTCAGGAAAGCGAAATATGCACTACAAGTACTGAACTTCACCAGCAACCACCCGATCAGTCACAAACACGGTTGCTTAAGGACGCCGTATCGGCGTGTTGAAGCGCCCTGCAGTGAACCGGAAGACAAGATTGCCGATCTACAATACCTCCGACGGGTATTCCAAGTCAATGGCTACCCACGCAACTTCGTCCACCGGTGCATGCGCAAAAGGGACGAAAGGCCTAACCGCATGGGCTCCAAATTTTGGCGAGGGCTTCCGTATGTCAAGAACGATTCGAAAGCTGTCGGCCACCTTCTCGCACCACTTGGGGTTGGAGTTACACACAGACCGGAGGCAACCATCAGGCGTCAGTTAATAAAACCGAAAAATCCTTTGCAATGAACTTCCCTTCCATACTCGGTGCTGAGACTTCGCCTAGGCGGAGTAATTTGTCACGGGGGGAGAGCACATATGAACACTTACCCCAACACCAGGGTCGGTGGGTCAGATGGTCGAGCAATCATCACACCAACATCCAACGCACGGGATGAAATTGCAGCAATGAACGACGCGAATGTCGGCCATCAAACAGTCATCACGCTAGATGCAACGATCCCTGATGAAGAAGGGGCAGCCGTGAATTTTCATGGGTATGCGGTAGCATGGCGAATGCATCCTATAAATACTGCAGCCCCTTGTGCATGAACTACTCGTATCTGCCATGGTCTTTGATGATGGGTTCGAGCAGGAATCCGAAACGTCGGGTGAATAAAGCTCTAGTCCCAGCAATTGTGTCTCCTTCTTCATTAACGTCATAATTTCTTCTGTCCAGACAGTGCTAGCAGTTACTCCTTCGGTTGGGTATAATTCACAGGAGTTTTGAGAAACCATCAAAAGTCAGCATTCCTCCTACAGAGGGGAGAGCGCCGGAGTAAGTACACCTCCTTGAGCTAAATTCCAGGGGAGGGGGCTAGGAGACTTAGAGGTAAATTCAGGAATAGAAACAGGCACGTGTCCAACCTGACCACGATGGACTTTTCTCTACCGGTAATAATTTCATGAATAAATGCAAAAACTATCTAATACAAATACGGGGGCTTTGTATTTTCCGAATATTATTAGACTGTGTTGTCGGGCCAGTTCCGCTGAGACCGGGGTGGTGGGGTTGAGGAAAAGAGTTACTGATGACTCCGAAATTTAAGAAGCGTCGGTATGCCTATTAGACTGACCGAGCCAGGCAGTAGCGACGTAACCTGCTGCATAGGGGTACTCCTCCCCTAAGCTGCGTCCGAATTGGAGTCGCTCGGTGTCGTTTTAAGGCTGTGAGACAAAACTGGACGACTGTGCGCAATTCTCCCAACCTTCACGTTTGCCACTCAACCCACTGTTTCCTTTGACACGCGCAAATATTGGGATTCTAGCAAAATGGAATGAGCCTCTGGAGGTGGCAGGACTTCGTGCACTTTTGCACTAACCGTGGCATTCCGCAAGCACTCCAGGTTCGTCCCAGAGACGAAGAGGAGGCGGTGGTGTTGGTGGGTGGAGAAGAGGGGGAATAGAAGGAGGTGATGGGTGAGAAGGAGGAGCGGGAGGATGAGGGGACATAGCTCCAGCATGAGCAATATAGGCCGGAAGCGTTGGCTCGCGTGTGTTCCTCTAGCTCAGTCACATGCGCTGTGTGTGTGGCATCCCCGGCCCATCAGCTGAACGTGTTGCCATGTTTTTATGCAGAAACAGGGTGAGAGGCGCGACATTAAGCTCTAGGGCCTGCTTGCATGGGTGTGGTCCGGGGGCCAGGCGTCATCCACGCCTCCCTCGTCGCTCCTTTCTGCTGCATAGGATAGTCCTGCCATTTGATGTAGCTAATTACAGTGAAAAAGTTGAAAATAATGGCCTAGAAGGTGGAGACAAACGCGCTAAGGCGTTTCACTGCGAGGACACCTTGGCCTCTTGAATGACGCACACCTGGTCTGACCAATAGGATGGAGATAAAAGAGTCCAGGTTGAAGTTGTCGTCCTCACAGGAGCCATCTGGGCGCGCTCTCATGCTTACTGTATCAATAACGAAAAGTACTGTTGAGTGCGAAGAATGCGGACATTTAAAAGGCTTGGTGCCTGTCGCTGAAAGACTCTTCACAACCATCGACAAGTGATTTTTCCAGTTAATGGCAGTTTCACGAACCCCGCTGTAAATGCAATGGACTAACGAGGGGCCTAGATACGGATACAACAGGAGTTATTGGGGACGCCCACCCATGGTAAATGTCATACATTGGAGTGTGGTGTCACGCCTGGGTGCAGGCTCCTGCCGCGCCGAACGCCTGGGCCTTATTTTAACCTTGGCTTTATCTTGACATCGGGCCTAGGTGAATGAAGGAGGAGAGACCGTGGTAAATGCAGCACATGTCTGCCATCATTATAAACTAATTCACGGGCAAGTCACTGTCCCTGAGTGCACGGTAGCGTGGGACACGCGGTGGTCATAATCAGCCCTGTTAAGTTCAGTGCTGACAGACAAAAACCATGGGGAGTGATGGTGAGTGTGGACATAAGCGACTTCTGGGATCGATGTTTCGCGCGAGCTGCGACAGTCAGAAACCTCATCGTAAGTCAGCTAGAAGTAAAGGCATGATTTATACCTGAACACACACCCCATAAAAGTCTTGAATTTGAGGACGCAGAAGAAAAAAGCTGTAACTCCTCTCCCTGAAGACACAGTAGCATCTCTTCTCCAGATAGTAGGTCGCATACCAAGGTTTTCTGGCTTGTACTTCGTCCAATTAAACTCCCCTCCGCCAGCTCATTGCATAAATAATCGATACTCATGGATACTTGGCGAATTTAACTTTTGGAATGAATGCCAACCCACTATTTTCACTGGGAATTAGCCCATTACAATTATTCCACATTAGTTTCGAAACCTCTGTAGGCTATGAAGATATTCGCTGACTTTTCTAATTGGTTACATTCAGATCGATGAGATCACTGCCTGTGGACAGTGCAGAAACTCTAGGGTAACGTGATACCATATCAACAGTACAGGTACTAGTCAAAAGCCCATACACGCGTGTTTCGCCGACATTCGGCCGCTGCATACCGCAGCTGCGAGGGGTTAGGCTCGTCAATGGGTCCCCTCAACATTTCCCATGTGCTTTCTGGTAGATACTCCAATTTAGAAATTGTGGCTTTTTAATTTCCTCAGAAATTATCTACGAAGTTGGAGTAGATCAGTTTATTCAAGGTCTATAGGCTCCGACCGAAAATGTTATACATGAATATTTGGGCCAAAGTCCATCAGCCACAGCGGCTAATCGCGTAATATTCATTAACTGCCGACAGGCAGCTAGTAGTATACTTTAGTGTAAGGGAATACCATTTTGGAATGTAGACCATGGCATTCCTAATCAAATGTACTTTTGAGTTAGGCTGTACTGCGCCATAGTCTGACACGTCTAGCATGCCTGTCGCCATGTCATTCGTAACAGCAACTCCTCTAAACAGCGGCTCGTAGAGGTCTCCTGAACTGTGAGTAATAACAACTCTTAATCCGTTAGTCCCGCTCGGTAGTTTCTAGCCATTATCAGCCATCTCGCTCTAATTTGTCTACTCACTTGTTTTAGAGCTTATTTCTCTGTCAACTAGACTTCCCATTGGTAAACATAAACAAGACGAGCATATAAAGGACGGCTTGGACAACCTTAGAGCTCCGTATGTTGCCTAGTCTCTCCACAATTAATCTCCTTTTAATAGTAGAAAAACTATGCATCGTATTCAAAGCCTAGTCCAGTTTTCTGCTACTCCATTATTGTGTTGTGTCTCGTTGATTCAAGTATTCTTTCTCCTACCTCCTAACGTCCTCCTATGGTGCACTAATTTGTTAGGAAGAAGGTCGGTCCACTTTATCCTTCCTCTCCCGCGATCCAGTGGTAGGGTAGTTAGGTTTGGTTCAATGTCCGGTACGGTGTGTACGCAAAACACACACAAGCGTACGAAATATGTAGTTAGCAGCCCTTTAGACTTGTCGCAGCCCCACATACCTCCTTTCTGACTTAAGTACCCTCTCTGTTCAATGCTAATCCAACCAAGGATGATCAATCAGTTAGAAGGCGTTCTCTGCGATCTGCGATCTTTGAGGGAGAAGTGTTCTATGGTTGTGGGTGACACCCCAACTTCCTGTATCACACGCATGTAATCGAAATAAAAAGCGTCCTGATCAACGGCCGTTTCTCAGCTCAGGGTCAAACAGAAAGCTTTGAAGAAGAAGAAGAAAAAGAAGAAGAAGGGTGAGGAGGAGGAGGAGGAGGAGGAAGAGGAGGGGGAGGAGGAGGAGGAGGAGGAGGAGGAGGAGGAGGAGGAGGAAATAAGCTGTGATCACCGGAACAGGAAGTTTAATGGCCTGACGTTTCGGATTTTCAGTCGAACCCGTCATCAGGGAGGCTAGCAAATAAGGTTTGTAGAGGCACAAAGACTCCAGTATTTATAGTAGGTAGTTGCCATGGGAGCACATGCGTGTTATAATTAACAACTTTTGCGATCAATGCTGGGGGTCTTAATTGAGCCCGAGTCGTTAACTGGTGCGACTTTATCGTCCGTGATGGATTTTGGCGTGATGATAATTCGGCAGTTTGGTCCGCTGTCACCGGCATTACTGTTCGTTCACGCCCTCTCAACTTGACCGACTCCCTTGCACAGGAAACGTCTCAGCACCGAATATGGTACCGGGAGGTCATTGCGGTTTTTGATGGATTGCGGGCTTGAGAACCATGACTCGAGCATCTAATAGGATAATGAAATTGTGGCAAGTAACGACTCAGATGCAGACTGACGAGCCATCATTGCATCAGTTAGGACCCTCATCGGTGATGGTGAGAGCTCTTTAATCATAGTACACAACTACGTGCAATAAATACTGCACTCTTTGTGCCTCCATTACCCTTATCTGTGGCTGTCTCTAATGATGGATTCGAATGAGAATCCGAAACGTCAGGCCAATGAACATCTTGCCCCAGTGATTGCACTTTCTCCTTAGGAATTGCTTTCTGGAGGTCGTCTGTTTGCTTCGATCGTGAAAGCCTTGAACTCCGCCCTAATACTGCTTCTGCATCTTCATCCAGTTCAAGACTCATTGATTAGTTGACGTTTCTGGCGGATCTCAGAGAGGGCTTTCCACGTGAGAAGAAAATGAGTTTCGAGTTTGCCGCGGAAATGCAACGCAATCAATGCAATTTTCTGTTTGAGCAGGGTATTACTGCTTCAGCGAATAAGCCACATTTGATAATCATCAATGGGGAAGGAAGTGGAGTGAAGACGGCACTTTTTCGTCCCCATCTGACCAAACCCTTGCCCAGAGTATTGGGACGATGACCACCCGATAGAGGTATCGCCGTATGACGAAATGTCGCTCTGCAAACCCATTGGAGTGTCTCGAAGAGATACGACTTAGAGAGGTCATTTATTTCGACTCCAGAAGACAGTGCATACAACTGGATCGTCATGAGTGTGTCCCGATAGACAGTCTACTCAGTAGTGGGTTGGGCGTGGGTACACTTGGCAGACCAGGTCACGATGGAGATTTGTACATTCAAGCGCCTTATCGGCACGAAATCCCAGCTCACTTGGATGAGGAGTGCTAACTGGTGGGTGTCGTGTGCCAATGAGCCGACCGTTTGGCGACGTCAGGTGATACTGCAACGATTCTCAGCTGGTAAATTCCCAGATGGGTAGCCGATCACAGGCTAAATGTGCTCGGTTGGCCGAAATGCTGAAATGCGTTTTCCATTTGGAAGGATTACTTAGATGTGGTTGTAGAACAGATTAGCATGCGGCATAATCAACTAATGTTTCGGACTCATCAGGTTGTCGGCTTTTGAATGTCCTTCTTTTTGATCTCCTGCAGAAACCACGTTCGATAAAAAATGACTACTTAATTAACATGCATATCTCGCATTGATTTTCGATGGTCTCATAAATTCAAATATATTTCTTAGAAAACATGGACAAAATATGCTTTCTTCTACTCATTTGGTGGTAAGTCACGTCGACCTTACATTTTATGGTTGAAGACAGGGTATATTTAGGTTTTAATAAAGTTTTCTAATTCCTGAATTAGTACAAGCCAGATCAACCGTTGCTTTAGCGTTTATCGATATCATTCTACAAGGCGCAAGCTTTCCGTGTAAGAAAAATAATTCATTCATCTATGTCTTAAAGAAAACATCATTAAGAGTTCGTGAAATTTTGTAATGAATGCGGCCTATAGTGTACATTTCATGAGGAGAAAGTGCTAACAGACGGGTACGATGCTGTTTGAATGTACATTGCACTGTCTTAAAAATCATATGATTAAAAACTTCTTTAAAACCTAAATCTACCCTGTCTTCAAGCATCAAATATAATATCGACGTGATTTGCCGCAAAGTGAGTAGAAGAAGGCATATTTTTGTTCGTGTGTACTATAAAATATATTTGAATTTGTAGGACCATCGGAAATCAATGCGAAAATTGCATGCTAATTAAGTAGTCATTTTTCACCGAGTGTGGGTCTTGCAGGAGATCGAAAAGAAGGGCATTCAAAAGCCGACATCCTGGCGAGTCCGACATATTACTGGATTGTGCCGTGCAATAATCAATATTACAACCCCACCTAAGTAATCCTTCCAAATCGAAACCACATTTCAGAAGTTCGGCCAATATTTCATGAGATCGGTCTCTCAATGTGCTCCTGGCGATAAACTGCTTCCTTTTCTCCACAACGACCGAGATTCTCAGTATTGTATCCCTGAAATACGCTTGCTTCTAACTTCCAGTCCCGTCTTATTAATTTAAAAGGGCTGTTTTCCCTACCCTTCAAATCTCCTGCACAGAAAACAAAAAGCCCCTGGGTACTGAGCCTATAATTCCACACTTTGTCCTCTTTACTGAGCTGGCTGGGATACCGGGGATATTAAACATATGCACCCTCCCGCAAAGCGTTTGCACATGAAGGCCGATGCAAAGGTCACTCAACCGTTCACTTCAACGCTGGTCGTGCGCCACTGGCAACGTTGCCGTACACACCTGGATGTACCGTCACTCCCACCCGGTGGGGGACGGGGACGGAGGAGTGGCAAATACGGTTGCTGCCCCCCTGAAGGTTCATAAACTGTTACTACAGTTGCATAAACAGGAGCCCATGTAGTTTTATCAACCAGGGGACAGCGTGTACTACACATACGCATGCGGGCGACGTACCTGCGCGCTAACCTGTCGGTTCCGCTCGGCTAGCTAAGTTGTCCAGAAGCAAGCAAGACTTGTGTTTGTTAAACTGCCCCTCAAGAGCAATCGTTCTGCAACGCGATGCTTACGGAACGCGTAGAGTAGCTTCCCTGTAACTGACCTGTAAGTTCTCCGAGTAATTTAACTTAGAGGTAGATGAAAATCCGGGACAGTTTGGTGGCAACGAAACGCCTAAAAGGATGCTCCCATCGACCATTCCATTCGCCCAATCCGAACGAAGCATGTGCGTGCGAAAGGTTCACTAGAGGAAGAAAAACTTCGCTGACTGCGACAAGCGTGGAATAGCAGGAGGGACGGCGTTCCGCTGCTAAAGCAGTCGATTTGCGGGGAGTAAGTTAAAATGATAGGCTGGGAGTCCTAAAGACTGCTTGCGACACGAATTGTCTGCCTTCTTAAAGCACTATCAGAAAGGTTCAGGTCGCCCTGCAAGGTTTGAAGAAAAATTGCACACACTATGGGCCTTTATTCCACAGGACCCATATTGTTGGATTTGGTTTTGCGGCGCTTATAGTGCCGTTAAGACGTCCACGGACACAATACTGTTAGGGCTTAAGGTTAGGGGGTTGGGGTTTTGGGTTGAGGCAACCACTTTTCAACTACTCAAAGTACAACCGTGCATTTCTTTTCCGGACAAATACTTAATCTCGTCGCCTGTGCGTTCCTCGACCCCACCTGTAAAAACACCTATAACCACCGGTCCCGTATTACAGGTGGCCGGGGTTTGTTTACCTCAGGTGCGGCTACATAACCACATCTGACCGTTTCACCTCTACGCATACCTTTAAACCCTGCAGATAAGCAAATGCATCTTCTGCAGACCTCACAGTTCTGTTGTATAGGGTGGTTTGCAAACAACAACCGCATGTGATATAAACATACATGAAGGTAATACACCTTGGTCACTGCTTGTCCTTCACTAAGTGACCAACCAAGAGAATTTTAATTCAGGAATTCTAAACGATAACGTAGGTCACGTATTCTGTTCCACAGTTAAAAATCAGTGTTTCTTATTCTGAGTGCGTGCAATAGAGCACGCGGTTTGAACTCGGTTCATAGGCGAAATCACATTTCTCATACAGTCTAATGATGAAGAACGATCCACAGGCTGTAGTCTCAAGTTCCTGTTCTTTCTAGAGATCGTGCTTTTATTCAGTAGCAAAGAGAGGTCGAAACATAGGAAACGTCTGACTTACTGACCTAGTGACAGTAAGTATGCAATCTGCCGGGTAAACAAGCCCGTGTTTCATTGGCTAGAGCGTTGGCCTCCTAACTAACAGAATGCGCGTTCGGTCCTCAGGAGTTGCAAATCCGCAGTCGGCTATGGCTGGCCACTCGGCACAAAGGGTCAAGTAGGCCCCCTGGCGCGATCGATGAGTGCCTTCCTATATAACAGTGGGATGGTTATTTAAAGACAGCCACTCTGTTCATCGATAGGGAAGAAGGTTTTGCAGTGGCCGAATGGAAAATTTTTGGACTGGCTTATAGCTTAGTCCGTCCCGTCGCAGGAAGGGTGCCTGTTGCTTTGAGACGAAAAGAAGCCAACATTGTCTCCTAAGTCCGTGCGAAGCCTTAAATACAGTCGTATCTGCTTGTGGCACACGTGGACAGCGGCCTTCAGGACCTGACAGGCGCTTGGCTGAACAGAGGGAAGGCTGGGACAGTGCACTGGTGCGAGGGTGATGCAAGGTGTGCCCGAAAAACGGGTCACGCGGTACATGCTCTAAACTAACAGGGAGGCCATATCGGACCCTGGCAGGCGGTATCGAAATGTGCACCCATAACAAATGCCGTTTCGCGGTGCGGTGGCAGGCCCGTTTGTCGGCAGAGGTCACGCACATTGAAACCCTGCGGTCCTCCCCATTGCTGTTGTTGTTGAACAAAATCCTGGCCATTTGCTGTGTGGGCCAGGAGGTGTGGAGTGGCTCGTCAAGGCCCGGGATCGGCCGCGCCATCTACCTGCGTCCTCTCACATCTACAGATCTAAATGGGGGGAGGAGGAGGCGGAGGAGGAGGAGAAGGGAGTGCGGAGGGTGCTTTGCAAGTCTACCATCACCATAAACTTGCTCACAAACAAGTCGCCTTGCCTGGTCTCATCTCGCTGTAGAGCACACGGTGGCATCGTCGAGCACGACCGTCAAACTGTCAAGTAGGGAAATATGGAGTGAA